ACGGAAGAGCAGGCGCAGGTTGTAAATTCATAATGTGGTTCCATAACAGCAACATGACCAGGTGTCAGGAATAAATGTTATCAACAGAACCATGTGTTTAAATGCATTGTAATATGTTGTGACTAGTTTGAAACGTAATTTTGTTGAGTATGGGTTGTTATGTTTAACAAAGCAATCCACACTCAACAAAATTTTATATATATATATATATATATATATATATATATATATATATATATATATATATATATATATATGGGTAAAGATAAAATTTTGAAAATTCCTATTCTTATGTTTCGGTAATGAAACGGAATCATAAGAAAAAGTATTCTATTTTTGTTGAAATAAATTTATCTCTGGTTCGATTTGATAATTGTTAACACACTTTCCACGAAGACATACACAAATACAATCTCTGTATAATTGTTACTATTATACAGACATTTCTATCGGATTCTTTGTTGGACAGAACTCTTCAGGAGTGACAAATGACGATTTTATTCCATCGAGGGCATATGATGTCATTTAGAGAATAGACGCCTTCGAAAACCATCTATTGTCAGCTTTTGTATCTCTGGAGACATTTGACGGTTACGTTTCTTTATTTCAACAGGCAACGCACACGTGACATTTTCTTATGAACAGTTAATGACAGAAACTGAAATGAATAAAGATATTGAAATTCTAACTTCTCAAATAAACGAGGGCCAAGAAATAAGAGGGTATGGTTAAATTTCTGAATATAAGATTCTTAGAGAAAGACTCATGTATCTATAATAAATGGCAGCTATGAAATAAATGGTCACGTTCATTTTCGAAATAAAAATTTCTTAGAGAGAAAGTATAGTCTCTCTAACAAATTGGGGTATGAAATAAGAGGGTATGGTTAAATTTCTAAATATCAGATTCGTAGGGTGTTTTTCTTGCATCTCGAATAAACATCGGCTACGGAATAAGAGTAAGTAGTTCAATTTACAAATGGAAGTTACACGAATTCCTCTCCAATAAACGGGAAGGTATATGAAATAAGAAAGGGTCGTTCATTTTCCGAAAACCTTATTAAATAGGTGGTTAAAATGAAAGTGTTTTACTTATTCCAAAGATGGAAGTACTTAAAAGAAATAATAAACGTAAAACTAGATATATTGTGCTTAGATTTCTAAGGAAATAGAATATAGTTCTTCCTGTATTTACCCTGTTCATTCAGAATTTGGTTGAACAAAGGCTCTCAGCTTCCTGTATCTCTTGTACTATATCTCCTGTAGAAAATGCCTTTCCTCTGACCATTCCCCTTAGTACCTGTTCTGCTTTCCATTGACACAAGCTCGTTTGGTAGGTTTCGGAGTTTTCATCCACTCCCCTTGTCATCAACAGTCTCTTTATCATTCAAACTATATCTGGGCTTATGAACACATCACGTTCAAACCGGTTACTCTCCGATTACCGAAGTTAAGTAACATCGAGCCTGTTCAGTATCTAGATGGGTGACCACTTGGGAATACCAGGTCCTGTAAGCTTGGATGTATGGGTGGTGTAATGGATAATGGCTGGGAATTGTTAATCGGGGAGCCGAGTTCCAATTCCAGTTGGATTTGTTATATTCACTTACGCGCCAATATCGTTCGGAAAGGTATGATTTCACTTCTCCTCCCCCAGCTATGGGCTAATAAGTAAGACTTGTATCATTAAATCATTATTATCTAAAGTAAAAAGGAATTCTTAAAATCTAAAAACTAAAATTCCTAGCTTTAAATAACATGGAAAGGGATTGGTAAGTTTTAGAAAACGAATCAATCAATTGTTTATTGTGTGTTTCATCAAAGAAAACATTTATCTTAACCCTTTGACCTCTGAACACCGCTTTGCCGGTGACAGGGGAAAAATGACGTAATGCCTAGCCACCAATTTAACAGTGGTAGAGAAAAATTACTTAATTCCTAACTACTGGTTGAACGGTGGGTAATTACTTGTAACTATTTTTAAAACATTACATACCAATTATTTGCGAATTTTGACTCAGCAGCTCAGGCAGATTGGTAAAAATTGTTCAGGAACGCAAAGCTCAAATAGTTAACAAATTTGGTCTACTGAGACAAAACTTCGTTGTATGTCAGTCGGGAAACACACTCTTGCTCAGTCTTGTATATGTGTGTATCTGTGTTTGTTACAGTGTTTACTTTCTCACGTGATTTCAAGCTTGACGGTGCGAAAACGCAGAATATGGCCGGGTATAGTTTTGTCAATTTATAAATAATTACCTCGGGTATAATTGGGCATGTCTACTTCAGCGGGGACCAAAATATCCAATTCAAAATTATACCCACCTAGGTCAGTTTATATCCCCTTTTATTAGTGGTATCACCAATCTTCCTTTTTTACCCCCGTAGAATGCTATATGACAGTTCTCGTTTTCAAACTAATGAAAATTTCTGATTTGAAATCATTTAACTCTAACACGTGTCCATGTTTTAAATAAGGAATTATTTTAATTAGGTATCCATAAATTAGGTCTACTAACTGGAATCGCTGGATAACGGATAGAAAATAAATTTAGTAAATATACAAAAATAGGAAGGTTTGTAAGACTAGGATGGATCGTCTCGCCGGACGTATTCAGTCTGTGAGACGATTCTGAGAGAATTAGACGTCCTCCCAGGAACTGGCGGCAAGAAGCATAACAACATAAGGTATGCAGATAGCATAATTTTGATAGCAGTAAAAGAATGCAAACTACAAGAAAATCTACAGAAGGTAGTGAAGGAAAGCGAGAAGAAAGGAGGAAACATTGAAAATACAGAATCCATGGTTGTCAGTAAAAGGAAGAGCTCAACTTGAAAATTACAAATTGGAGATCGTGAAATCAAAGTACAACAATTTAAATATCTGGAAAGTTTATTATCAGTGGACAGGAAAATCCGAATGATTCCAAAAGCTAAGCAAAGTATTAAGGAAGAGGAAAATTTCGTTAGAAAATAGGAAAGAGTTTTGAACCGTTACGCAATAATAAAATCGCTTCTCCCCCCCCCAACTATAAGTTAATTAGTAGGCCTTTTAGCGGTAAATCATTATTATCTCAAAAAAATCTTCAGAAAATATTTTTAGAATGTATGAATTGTTTAGCGATAATAATGATTTAATGATACAATTGTACCGGGTGCAAATCGACTGACAAATTTCCTGAACAAACACTCTATTTACTTGGTGTGCCTGGTGTAAAACCGCAACGACTGATAAACTCCCACAATTTACTCAGTAATCTCTTCCCGCGCCTCTGCTTTCCTCTTTACACGATTCTTCTTCAACATTGCAGAAGTTTCTTTTTTTCCTGAGTGACTAGTGTTCGGTGTTTTTATGTCCTTTTCTGCCCTCCTTCATTTGCATGTGTGAATTCACTTTCCGTGGTTTTACGTGACCGCCCGCGTGAGGACACGTGACCATTCGCAATATAAGCTTGCTAGCGGCAGCCATGTTTTTTCCAATCAACAAAAAAAAAAACCTTGCACGCAGAACATATACGCTGCCGTTTTCGATCAGGTTGGTGATTATATTTGTTCCAATTTTCACAACAACAAGTCTTACTAATTAACCCATAGCTGGGGAAGATGAGACGGATTCATGTCTTTCCCAATGTTATTTGCCCGTAAGTGAATATAACGAACCCAACTGGGATTGGAACTCGGCAATTCTAAGCCATTATCCATTACATTACCCGTACATCCAAGCTTACATCACCTAGTTTGGACTAGCGTTCACTGGTATAGGTAATGACCAGGCTTGACATTGCTTAACTTAGGCCATGGTATGAAATCCGGTGTTTCAACGTGATGTGTCGTAAGTCTTATTAAGAAGGGAGAACATTAAAAGAATAGGAATTAGGAAGACAGAAGATTGATATTGTATTTACATTTTTGAAGATCAAAGAGTCGGAAGAGTGTTACACAAGCAAGAAGTGCAATAGAAGGTACTATTTGCATAGAACTTACGGTTACATCTAGTCATTTCAATTGTAAAATGATGAGATATTGCTAATTAGTACAGCGATTAACTCGAGGTAAAAACGAGGAAAACTCATCTAAATTACCATGATAATATTTATAAAAATAGGCACAGGCAAGCTACATTACGGTGGTGAGTAAGTGATTGATGCCGAGATGTCAGGTCAGGACCAATATCATTGCAGATTCTTCTTTTTATTTTATTTTATTTTCTCAAGTCTCTCTAAATACATAGCAGAAGAACCAGCTCAGAAGTGGCAGCATATTCAATGCATGGACGAATGGTAGACATGTTTAAAATAGATTCTGAGAAGAAAAATTGTAGAGCAACTTTCCTAGTAGGAGAATATTTAAATAATTAAATAAAATTTTATTTTATTTTGCTTCTATCAATGCTTTATCTCTTGATACTCGGCAATTTAATTACAAAAATAATTTATCTTAAAAAACTTAAATACCGTACGCGTGTGTAATAAAGTTATTTTTAAAGTACATATGTCATAGCTTTTGTCTTAATTAAAACCTTAGGAAATTTCGGATGTTTCTCATGCCAAACATATTTGCTGAAATGTTTTAGGTTCTTTCGAATCGAAAGTATTTTATGGCAGATACTAAAAATTCTTCGATCTCATTAAATTAACAAAGCCTATAGAATCCAAACTTAAGTTGACATTTAAACTTGAAGCTTTAAGTCGGCAGTAATGTCAATAGGTAGAGAAAAAAAACGAAAAAAGAATTGGTTTGATTCTTGTGATAGAATAGCGCCTTTGGCTTGTAGTTCTAGTTTTTGGATTTACTTCGCTATCATTTAGATCTGGGAAGTTTTTCTCAACTTTTTAGAACAATTCTTTTTTTTTTCTTATTTAATTAGATTGTTTTTTTTTTTCTTTTATCTATATTTCCTTTCGTTTAGTCCTTTTCATTCCTACTTGCTCTTTCTTTATTCCTGTGTTTCTTTCTTTTATCTTCCTTTTCTTTTATTTCCTTCCTTTTTCTTTTCTTCAGAAATTTCTCCTTTTTCTTTCTTCTTGTATTTTCTTTCTTTCTTTCTTTCTTTCTTTCTTTCTTTCTTTCTTTCTTTCTTCTTATCCGTTTATTTCTTCCTTCTTGATTTTTCTTTCATTCTTTATTTGTTTCTTTCAGTTTGTGCTTTCTTTCTTTCTTTCTTAATTTCTTCTTGCTTTTTCTTAGTTTATTCTTTTTTCTTTCTTATTCTTTCTTTCCTTTTTCCTTTCTTTCAGAGTTTTTCGTTTGTATCTTCTTTCATTTTGACTTTTCTTTCTTTCTTTCTTTCTTTCTTTCTTTCTTTCTTTCTTTCTTTATTTATTTATTTAACCTTGTTATTTCTTTCTTTCATAATTTCTTAAATTCTTCTTTCTTATTCTTCGTTTTTCATTCTTTCTTTCTCTTTTTCTTTCTTTTTTCTTTCTTTCTTTTTCTTTCTTCCTTTTTTGCTTTCTTTCAGACTTTTTCGTTTGTGTCTTTTTCTCTCTTTCTTTCTTTCTTTCTTTCTTTCTTTCTTATATTCTTCTTGCGTTTCCTTAGTTTTTCTTCCATTTTTTATTTCTTTTGTTCCTTTGGTGTTTCTTTCCTTTTTCTTTCTTTCTCGGATATAAAAAGAGAAGAACAGTGGAGGGAGCGAGTGTCAATCTTGCATTTTCAGATAGATTTAATACAATCATTGTATTAATATTTCTCTTTTTTTCGGTAATCTTTGAAATGTGTTTATCAATAAGCCGGTATCAATGCAACACTTTTAAGCTAAGAAATTCATATCTTCCTGTTCCATCATTAGCACACAAATGTAATTTCGAAATCCTTCCCACGTAGCTAGGAAATCTGGTTAAAATCATACAAGTGTCACTAGCTAGGCTCCATATCATTCATGAAATTATTCTTTCTCTTTTGAAAAATCTGTTCCAACTTTGACGTGCGCATGCGCCGAGGAATGACGTTAAGTTGAAATCCTCATCACCAAGAATGCGGCATTTGCAAGCACATTATTACTTACTTAGATATACCGCATGGATTTTACAAGTTATCGACTTGATCCATTTTTATCTGCAAAACGAAGTGTAAAACATCGTGAATGCGTGAAGCTAGTGTATAATGCATTTTACAATCAGATCGATGGATTGCTTATATTGATTAGAAAAAAAAAACACATTATTTCTCAAGAAATCGATCTAACATCGCTAAAATATTGAAGAAAGTGATTGCATTCTTAAAAGTTGTAAGATTGTGTAGCGTTACTTGTTTCAACTCTACATTTATTACTTTTATAAGTCTAACATAATATTTGATTATATTTATAAGTCTAACATAATATTTTATTACTTTTATAAATGTAACATAATATTTGATTATATTCATAAGTCTAAAATAGTCTGGTGCATGAGTTGCGGTGGGTAAAGACCAGAAAATAAAATACTGATAGTCTCTTTACATTCATTCATATATATATATATATATATATATATATATATATATATATATATATATATATATATATTAATTGATTTAAAATATTTTTTTCCGATATATATATATATATATATATATATATATATATCGGAAAAAAACATATTTTAAATCAATTAATTTATAATATATATATATATATATATATATATATATATATATATATATATATATATATATATCAATTGATAATTTGTAGGATAATTCCAAGGAGAACATTAATCAAAACAGTGCTCAATGTAAGAACAGAGGAATATAATAGTGAGTACAGACGATCTTCAAAAAATCCATTCGGTTATAACTGATTTCATGAATATACAAATATTCATCTCTTCTGACCGAACATTTTTTAAATTTTAATTTTTAAGGATCGTCTGTACTCATTATATATATATATATATATATATATATATATATATATATATATATATTATCACTTGCCGATAGCATGACTCGGAGTTTTCATGCAGAACGCAATCTGCAGGTGCTGAGTATAGATGATTCAGTCGTATTATCTTTGAGAGATAATATGTATATTTATTAATATATACTTAATAGCTCTGTTGTATTACATTGAGCATTATTTTATTAATTTTTGTGATTAAATTAAAGACATTAGTTCCATTTCATCCTCAAGCGAATTTTATATATATATATCTCATATATATATATATATATATATATATATATATATATATATATATATATATATATATATATGAGATATAATAATTACGCTACTCAAATAAACTGCTTTCCCGCGATTTAATGTTTTATGTGGAATCCAACTTTGTTATAAGGCTAACTCACAATCTTCACACCGTTCAATGCACAAGATAGTCAATTCTGTATTTAGTCTATCTTTATGTGGCCTGTGGTATATTTTGCGCAACGCGAGGAGCGGACACAGATGGATTGAAAAAAGATTTTCCAATACGGCTATAACATTACTGCTTAAGTCGTGCTCTCTTTCGAGACTTGGTTATATATATAATTAGGGAGAAAAATAAATTCAACTCCAATTCAAATGCTGGTATTTATAAAAAATTTGTTCGCAATGCGAAAATGTTTAGGTAGGGGAGACATCATGTAATTTAAAACCCCCGCATCTACGATCTTTGGACAATCTTTCAAATTCTCAAGCCTGACACAGGAAATAAACTGCCCATAACCTTGATTTTACTAATGCAACATAAAATGAAGCATAATTATCGAAGGAGAAAGTTATTTAAGGGCTTAATAATAACAATATTATCAACTATAAACACACATCAAAAACATTATATTACGTCACCAACCTTTGTTGAATCTATTTTTAATGTATCTCACGTACGTTCATCTAAAATAAACGGTTTGTATGTAAAAACGTTCCCAAATCAACATTCTTAGAACTAATACACATAATGTCTACTAAACATACAAACACACACAGTTACATAAAAATATACATCATCATCTGATGCCCATATAGACAAACTAGAATTTTTATAAACTTACATACATATAGAAATATTTATGTTTTTTTTTTTCAGGTAGGAGTCTATAAATTTCTTTAAAATTGAATGCCGAAAATTAGAGTAACGTTGGTTAAAAAGAGTTTCATGAACGTGATACACGATTGTCCAATGAAAATCAAACAACACAGAAGTAAAAATGCCAGAATTTCTTTTTCTCTATATCCCAGTCTTTCACAAAGTCTTAATAAAAGTGAAAAACGTTAGATTGATAACCATTTCCTATTTGTCCTTTAACTTATCAAATCATATTTGATCCCATCTCTCTCTCTCTCTCTCTCTCACACACACGCGCACACACACATGCATATATATATATATATATATATATATATATATATATGTTTGTGTGTGTGTGTGGACTTTGAGATCAACACCCAGCAGCGACAGTCTGTTTCAGGATTAAACACAAGCTTCAGGTATTCTCTCTCTCTCTCCCCTCTCTCTCTCTCTATATATATATATATATATATATATATATATATATATATATATATATATATATATATATATATATATGTGTGTGTGTGTCAATAAAAAGATATACATATTAACCCATGCCGATAGCACGACTCAGAGTTTCAGGTGCTGAGTATCGTCCGATCATATATATAATTGCGAATGTCAAATACTATTTTGTAATTAAACCGATTTCGTGAGCAAATTAAAAAACACTTCGAACCTCATCTGGACCCGCAATCCTGAAATTTTGGATTCCCAAATTTTCATTACTGCAATTCTTTTCGGATTCCTCCATCTTGGCTTCTACTGATAAAAACAATTAAAGAGACACAACTCTCTAACTTTCAATAAGTCATGCTCAAATGAAAAATATACTGTCCTCAAATTACAGTCCGTGTTTTCAATTTTACTCCTAGAAGCCGCAGCCCAACATACACCATTTTGGAATCAGGCCGAATCCGTGAGCAAATTAAAAACATTGTGAGACAGATCCAGACACGCAATCCTGAAATTTTGGATTCCCAAGTTTTCATTACTGGGATTGTTCTGGCGATTTTTTTATGTGTTTTTTGCGACGAATTTTTTTGTATGATAAATTTGGTAATTTGTAAAAAAAATTGGGAATAATTGAAATTAATAGCGAAAATCACCCATAAAAATAAATGTTTGTACGGAAAATAAAGACCGAAGTAGATCAAATTTTCTTTAAATGAAGTGGCGGCAGAAGAAGTATTGTTGAACTTTTAAAAGGTAAGCTTAAATATTAATGCAATATTTAAATGCAGCGATCAAGTTTGTGTTTTTCTGTACTTTATTTTTGCTTATCGCATCTACTCTTCCCTAACTATTGTGACGAAGGCTCCAAATCTCGCCAGATAGTACATTAAGCTAGTATATATATATATATATATATATATATATATATATATATATATATATATAAATTTTTACATATAGACAAGAGCAATTTATTCACTACAAAGATGCAACTTTGTTTCCGTGCATTTATTTGCACCTCGACTGGTGACAAACAAAAATCATAACCATTTTTAGTTCTCATAAGTCGAGGTGAGTAAATTATTTTTGTCTATTTGTAAAAGTTATAATAAATAATTATTGATCCAGTGTTGGTATTGAGCCCTCTTTTGAATTAATGCCGTGAACGTTAGAATTTATACATTATTTTCGTTCACATTATATTCGGTTATATATATATATATATATATGCGTATGCCCGCGCGCACATCTCAGCCACTATGAAGTATACTTATATTGCAATATATCACAAACAGATGCCTTAACATTATAAAGACTCTTTTATCCGATTAATGTAAATGTAAATCGCTTTATATTTGCAACTAACTTAATATTAGCAAAGAAAACGCAGCTGAGATAAACGCAACAAATCCGGTCTCTCGAGCGTTATTTGAATCTCTTTATCTTTCTTTCTCCCATCTCACTCTCCTTCTCATATATATATATATATATATATATATATATATATATATATATATATATATCCAGGTAAGATAAAGTATAACGAACAGAATACAATTCCAATGTTTGTAACATTTTATTTAAAAGAGGGCTCAATAGAAAGTTGAGCAATATTATTTATTCTTGGATATTAATGCATCAATTAATGCGTATCATTGGATCTCATCAGACGATTGAAAATTACTCTAATTTACAATCGTCTGATGAGATGCATTGATACGCATCGAAACACGACTGCAATTGTGTAGTGCTTTTGAAATGTTTTCGGTGTAATATCGTAATATATATATATATATATATATATATATATATATATATATATATATATATATATGTGTGTGTGTATATATATGAATAAAAAGAAAGAACAGTAAGATATATAATCCGGTGTTCTTATAGATATTTTTATTTTTACAAAATAGTGCTCAATGTAAATTTACAGAGCATTAATATTATAAATTAATTGATTTAAAATATGTTTTTTCCGCTACACAGTTCTAACCATGTTTCAAAAATAGAAGCTAAAAGCCCCGAATTTAATTTTGCAATTAAATTAAAGACATTAGTTCCATTTCATCCTCAAACGAATTTTGGGTAACTTTTAAAATTACTGGGTTTTAAAGACACAGCTAAAATTATAATTCATGTTTCCAAGGTTACAGATGAATCCAGTTTACTAGACGAGGGGTGTGTGGGTGTTCATTATGTCTATATTTTAATGTATCAGTTATTAGCT